TTTTACTTTGCGTCATTTTGGGGCTTGAAAAGATCCCAGCGAAGGACATGCTTTCTAAGAGAAAGCACAATGTATAGAGCAAGGCTTGTCTTAGATGCATTGAACTTTAGGCAGGCTTCATGCCTTTTGAGGGCCACTTTGCCAAACAATTAGGCTTCAATTAGATTCAATTCGGCATTGCAGCTGGAAGAACCTACTGTCCCTGCGTAAAAGGCAAACGTAACTAGAAAGAATTGAAGACTGTACAGCTGGATGAACAAACTAATTTTTAGGATTGTTTTGTGTGCAACGCAATCCTTTCTATGGGATTCAATAGTTGGCGCAGGCAGCTGCATGGACTCATGGGTCAAGAATGGGAAATAGAACTGCGGAAGGGTCCCCTTAAAATGCGTTGTGTCTAACACATGGCTCGGTAGCGTTTCATGTCAGATTGTTGTATAAAGGAGACGCTTATCAAAAGTTTAGGTTTCCCAAGTTCACAAGTTTGGGTTTCCCAAGTTCACAACACTGCAGACTTTCTTAGGATTTGTAGGCAGGGGTGTCCTCGAGCCGTCTCGATGTCCAAGCGCTCAGCAGCTGGTCCTGGCACCAGTGCCAAAGCTGCAAGACCACCAAGAGCATGGTGTGATGATTTCATGGTGCCGGCTTTGGGGAGCTTTGCCTGCAATTGCATGTTGAATACCTGTTGAATATGTTTGATAACAGGAGTTGGTAGCTTACAAATCAAGTAACCTGTTAAATATACCGAATGGTGTACCAACTCGTCCTTATGTACTGTGATGCATTCAATGTGGTTCCTTTTCAACCATCTCCCATGCATCTGGATCAGAAGCTGTGCTTCATTGTCGCTAGCTAGGAGCTTTGACATCGCTGCGGGTGAGCATCCAGTAAAATGGCTTCTGGACACGCTCAGTGTTGGGGACGGCATATTGGATGCTATGTGGCTATGGCTGGAGGAAGTAGTGCCTGGAAAAGTTGCCAACCCAGTCAAAGTGGTTTCAGCTGACTCTGGGTTTGCCAAGGTTTCAACAGGTTTCCACTATTTGTGATGCACTCACTAACTAATTTGGTTGATTGAATCATTGAATCATTGCAGTCTCAACACCACACCACTGCACGCCTATCTCAGGATGTTAACAAGCCGACGTTGCACAACCTGCCTCTCACCTCATTATGGTACCATATGCCTTCCGACGGTGTCCCAGTCTTTCCCTTGTGGCGCAACTTAGCCCTTGACGTCTTTTGGGGAGGCTATGAACCTCTGAGGGAACCAATGGAGGGCAGGGTCCGTGACAACACGTCCGCTCATGGTGGCGTTCAGTGCACCAAAGGGCTGGGACGCCTTTCTGTGATCCAATTTGGTGCCTTGTGGACTTTCTTGCACAAGGATGCCTTGGTCCTTCAAGACTTTCGCAGGTGTGCTTGCTTGTGAATATATGAGTGTAACCTTGCTGGGCAACTGATCTAGTTTTAGGTAACTATTTGTTCATACTTCCAAGCCCCTGTTCTGGAGTAGGTTTCGGCAGGCTTTCAGGTTGGTTAGGACACCCTGCTTTAATACTAAATTGCTGGGCTGAGCTGCTGCTTTTCCTGGAAGTCCGTTCTGAAATTCAGCAGGTTGTTGATATGGCCCAATCACACAGTTTGGCCTGTTCGTTTCATACCATGTCGATGTCACCCCTTATATCATCCGAATACACTTTCAAGGTTGCCTATATGCGACTCCAGGCTAGGAATCTGCGAGTGTTGAAGTATTCTGCGAGGTACTCTGTGAGGTATTCTGTGAGGTATTCTGCGATGTATTCTGCGAGATTCTGCGAGGTATTCTGTGAGGTATTCTGCGATGTATTCTGCGAGATTCTGCGAGGTATTCTGCGGCGATGCATTATTAGATCATCTGCGTCGTGGAAAGTGACTTAAAACTTATCCCTCCCCAGGGGTGACCTGTAGGCCCAAACAGTCGTCCCTGGAGGTATTCTGGGGATCGCAGAATACCTCAATTGCTTAGACTGGCATATGCAATCATTTGATGTTGAATGGAATATTATATGGAATCCAATTAGATTTGGATATATTCTCATATCGATTGCTGAGACGCAGGGTCTCGCAGAATATCTCCAGGGGTGACCTTTAGGGCCAGAGGGTCGTCCCCGCAGACATGATGAGTTTGGAACAAAATCCGTGACGCAGAATGTCTCAATGTCCAAATTCAGGGTGACCTTCTGGACCAAAAGGTCGTCCCCGCAGAATAGAGTCTGGTTGACCAAATAGGGAATCCCCGAAGAATATGCCCTCCAATGTGGTGTAGAACATCAGGGATTGACAGAGTCTTGACAAGTGTGCATTGTGCCCCACCGGTCTGCAGCGCCTGCAGGTGGATCGACTCCGTGGCAACCTTGCCATGCAGGGTAATTGAGGAAGCTCACGAAAGTCACTATGACTGGAAGCGCATTCAAACATCGGAACAACAAGCGCAGCGTGAGAAGAAGAGCATCATCCAGAAGGCATTGGTCTTCACCCGAAGGGCCAAACAAATTGTGCTTGAGGAGAGGGTTCAAAAAAGCCTACTAGGTGATCTTCTTAATGGGTGAAAAGGCTTATCACTTGGTCCCAAAAAACCTCGGTCTTTTGGTGACACTGTGCGGCAATTCCAAAACTAAATCAGAATGGAAACAGACTGGATTTGTCTTGCCTTTGATCTTGAGGAGCCTGCTGCTTTTGGTGGGGTGCATGGCTTCCGGGATGCTTTCTTGCGCAGCATCAAGGAGTTCAACGAGTATGGGGTGGCGGCAGGGAATGCAAAATATCAGGTGGGTGAAGACCTTGCAATGCAGCTTTATGCCTTCAATGCTGCTGGGCCTTGCATTCTACAACAAAGTACCTTTTGTGTTCTTGCTTCCAGAGAGTCACCCTTTTTTTTGATCCATCACTGATGTTTACCAGTTTCTAGTGGAAAGTTGTCCCTTCAGTGTGGGTAAGGTTGGTGTGGATGGGCATGTTTGGGAGCGCATTGAACGTCATCTGCATCAGTTCCGCTGGGAGCAGTCAGGTCGGAGGGGTCAAATCTGGTGGAATCATTTCCGAAAGAATGCACCATGGACCATGGCTGTTTCAATATGTTCCTATAAGCCAGTTAACCATCTCATTGACGACCCTGTTAGCCTTCTCCCGGGAACTATTGCTGGAACCCCGCTGGCTATTGGAGGGGACTGCAAAGGTGCCCAGCTCGATGTGGCATTCCGTTCTCACGATGAATGCAGCAAAACAAGGCTTGTTCATGGATCGTCCCTTGGTGGGAGTTTCAAGCTAAAGTCTAAGCAAAAGTTTTCATCTCTTTTCTGGTGCCTTTCTTGTTGGTGCGAACATGTCTTGACTTCAAGCTTTGTCTCGATGCAGGCATCATGCTGTTACATCAAATCAGCACTCGGAGAGCAGGCACCAGGACTGTGGTTCGGCTCACACAGCAAGAATGGCTGGCCGAAGTGGACGTTTGTTGCACTCTGGGGTGGCTGAACCTAGTCGGTCATAGTCTAAGTCATACGCCTTTCTATTTTTGTTCTATTGTAGTTTAGTCATTGTGGAGCCCAAAACTTCCAAAGAATCCGTTCACGTGACATATTCAAACATTGCTCGTGGTGTGACTCCTATCCAATACAAATCCCCTGTTGACAGTTGCCGCTTCGTTCCCCCCCTCTTCAACCACCTTGCCTTCATCCTGGGAAGATCCATATGCTGAATGACCTCAGTTGGAAACCAAAAGGATATCTCATACTTCCGCTAGTTGTTTTCCAAACACACCGTGACTGCTCAACGAGCAGCAAAGGATTGAAGAGATGCGAAATTCAACTTGCGACGATGGCTCCCCTATGTTTGCTGCAGATGTTTTGGACAGCGTCAAGCAGCGGTGCATCGAGGGGCCACTGGCTTGAGAAACTTTTGGGGAACTTTTGCTCTATTTTCACATCTTCCCACAAACCAACTGGAAAATCTGCCCCAAGCTATTGAATTTCCCACCAGTTGGACCACTTGAGGGATTTCCATGTGGAGATCAAAGAGGTTCTGTCGCAGAAGGACCCCACCTACAAGGCTTCCTTTGCATCATGCTGGCAGGACAATATTCCTGAAGCTCCAGCTGTTGACTCTTGAATGCAATCTGTCCAGGGATCAAAGAAGTTTCCGGATTCCTGCCCTGACATATTTGCTAGAAAAACAAAGCTCTGCCTGCTCTAAAGAAACCCTCTCAAGCTTGAGCCCAGGAAGATCCCTTCTCGAAGGCAGAAGAGACCTTGGAATGCTTATCCAAGGACGCTCGATGCTGGGGACAACATTGAGTCTAGAACTTTTGCCTTTTTTTTGTATGATGGTAGTATACATATGGGAACCACTTCCCGCCCAGTGGCCAAGTTGCAAGCTTTCAGGAAAGGCCGCCTTTGATCGGGACTGCCTGCAGTTCGCCCGCGACATCGCGAGTGTAGGTCAGCTTCTCGAGGCCGAAAAGAAATCCGAGAACTTTGCCAAGACTTGGCAACCGTTTTGATGCTTTTGGGATGTGCTGTCCAACCTACCTATTTCCTTTGCTTGTTTGAAACAAGCGTGTAAGGAAGGGCAAGAGGACGGCAAAGGTATTACACTTGAAGAACCAAAATATGATAGGAGCTAGCTTGGTGCGGGGCTGGATGGAAGCAAATGCATGCTTTAAAGCTGGGCTCCCTTGGGAAGACTCGGATGTGACCGTTGCTGTGGAGAAGGACCGCCAACACAGAGTCCAAACCTCTAAGTGTTAGATTATGTTAGATTGTTGGGAAATGTTGGGAAGGTTTTGGCATGTTTTGGCGACTGTGGTTTTCTTGCCTCAACACCCTGAGTACTTGCAAGACACCATCGCAAAGTCCGGCGCTATCTTGGTCTGGCAAGACATGACCAAATGTGGGAAGGTGTCTGGAAAGGAGCTCAACAGCTTCACGGAGATTCTTGCAAACGTCTTCCGACAAAAGCCAACGATGTCTGCAGGCTTTGTCACTTGCCCAATCCTGATGAGCGAACGTATTTCCAACAACCTTCGGGACGAGATGAGGCGTTTCGAAGACAAGTTCGACGCCAAGGGTTTGGCGAACATCATGGTGACGCTTCGGATGGAGCTGCCTCCATCATCCAAAAAGGTGCCCATCGTTCACGGGTGGCTGGTGGTTGACCAATCCACTATGTCCGAGAACATTTTCATGTCAAGCCAGTTGGTGCTTGACAGGCCTTGGTTTAAATGCAAACCAGCTGCTCATTGCACCCCTTTGTGTTAAGTCAAGATTGTTAAGTGTGTTTGCTAGTTACCAAACTTAAGCATGGTCCATGCATGGGTTAAGCAAAGCCCTCATAATCTGGGATGGGTCGCCCTGTCGGAAATCAAAGGTTAGTGTTGAAGTGGGGTAACACCAGGACATGACTGCCAAAACCTTGACTTGCTGGTTGCAGGTCTCCCCGCAAGATGATCCCCTTTGCCCCGGAGACGTCTTATATTGTCCCATCAGCCGAGCGTGATGCTCTCCCGCATGCTTCGGAAGGAAACAGGCAGGTATCTCACAATGATGGATGATGTGTGCTGCATATACTACTGTAACACACATTTGAGGCTGTATCAAACACAAGGGTTTGATCTAGCCATTTTGGTTTCATGTCCGTATTCGCCACATAATGAGTTCTTCAAACCTAGCCCCTGAAGGTCGCTTTCGCAAACGCAAGAAAGCTCGCAATACCTATCAGGAGAGCACTTCCCCGAGGCGATATTGTCAGGGTTGCTGACCAGAGCTGCGCTTCCATCCAAGACCCTTGCAGTCCTCAACTGCACTCCCTATGACTGCTGGTTGGAACGTACTTGCCTGAAGTAACCTTGCAGCCTCTGGTAAGGTTTTTGTCGTGTTTGGTGATCTTTAAACATTGGACATGAGAACTGCTTCAACAAGTAGCTCGAAGTAGGTTCATGTGGATTTCTCATGACTGAGGTCGGAGTCCTTCTTGCCTGGCTACAGTCTCAAGACGTTGAGTGTGGGGAAGAGCAGTATCATTGTGGATTTCTGCGAGAAGACACTTGCTATGGAACTCATTCAGGACGGGCCCTTTTCAATTGTGAGTTGCTTAGTGCACATCTATTGGGTCTCTATAATAGGGGGATTGATGGTTGTGTGTGTTTTTTTCTGATGAAATTGTGCAGGGGTGGAAAATTGGCAAGCATCCCATGGGAAGGGTTCGCAGCTACGAGCCCACGCCAGTCACACCACCAGCAAATGTGCAGCTGACAGACTTCACTTTCAAGCTCATCCAAGTGGAGCTTGGGGACGCTAGCAAGAGCAACTTCAACGAGAAGTACAAAGTGAAGATCCCAGTGCACATCCGGAGCCGGTACTCTGATGATGTGGTCTTCGGAAGTGAATGGCGTGAGCTCTTGAATGATTTTGACAAGAAGTGTTTAAGCTTCCATTTGGTATTGGTTTCACTATTTGGGTTACCATATCTTACCATTCAAGAACCTAGGAGTCCACGAAGAATAGTCACCTTTTATGCAGAATCAGCCCCACCCACCGGTCCTCGCCTCAGGTTCAGCACCAAGTTCTCCGGGCCACTCACGCCTGTGCCAACACCAAAGGAGACGGTTCCAGAGAAGCCTGCTTGGGTGGGTGAGCCAGGCACCGTACAGGAGCTCATCAACAAATTCAACATCGAAGTCAAGCTCAGTGGCCGAACACCAGGAACCACCCTGTATGTGGTTGGAAGCCGGGATCGGTCAGGAAAACAAGAACCTTGTCACTATTCTCTTTGATATTCTAGCTTGAGGGCTTCCGGTGTTATTTTGTTGTCGTCCACCCCAGTCCACCCTGGTCAACCAAGGAAAATGTTGAGGACCGGCAGGAGTTTAAGCTGTATATGGCTCCTTGACTCATAAAGTCATGTTGAGATTGCCAAACCAACCCGAACCAGGCTCAGGATGAGGTATCGTAAATTGCATTTAATAAGACCCTTTCTTCCCTTCACTGGAGCTTTGATTCAGGGAGCGCATATGCCTGTGGAGATTGAGCCCAATGACTTTATCCTGGCGCACGGGGCATCACGCTTTCTCAAAGTGGAGAAGTACCAGGATTTGAAGCGAAAGGGAAATACAGGAGCCTTCTCTTGCCTTCTAATGTAACTCAATTCATGAATTGAAGATGAATGAATTATTTTCCACACTTGATTCGTACATGGTTTCTTCAAGTTTCTTCTGGGCTCAGTCTCGGCTGCTTGCTTTGACTTGCTCAAGCATCAGGGAAGGTCGTTCGTTGGATAGCTTAAAGTCTGGCAGCTTTGCTGTTGGACCCTGTGTTCCTCGAGCGAACTAGTCATGGTGGTCTTGGAAGATTTACTGGCGCAACATGGTTTCGAACAGGACAGCTTGCCGATTCCACTCTCCCTAGAGCATGCTGCGCAACAAGTTTCCTTCGACAGGACTTTGATGCCCTAGCAAAAGGTGATCCAGGTTTGACGACAACACCGCCAACCAAAACTGTCCCCAACCAAGTGGTCCAATGCTTTTCATCGCATGTAAACACCTAATCTCACTATTGAATGACTTTCAGCCACCCAAGGCCCAATCTCCGACACAGTCAACGACTCCAGTGTCTGAACAGCAGGACACACTTTGATGATATGCAATGATTTTCCATGTATTTTTACTAGAAAGTAGTAAACCTTGGCTTCACAAGTTCCACCGGTCTTGAGCCTTTACACTGTCCTTGGACTTGCAAGGACGTGTCGGAGTCCAGCTCAAAGGAAAAGGCTCCACAGCCTTCAATGCCGCTTCGCGCAGCAGAATCCACACCAGAGTCCAATCCCCTTCTCTCACCTGAGAGGATCCAGCAGCTGCAGCAGGCTGTAGAGGAAGCAAAGAAAAAGAAGAAAAAACAGCAGAAGGAGGCTGCCGACGATGATGACCAGAACGAGAAGATAAAGAAGGATGCGAAGGAGCCTAAGGAGGAGAAGGAAGAGAATGGTGACTTACATGTCAAAGATGATGAGAAGAAAAAGAAGTGCGTCAAGGAGGAGAAGGAAGAAAGGGGCGACTTGCAGAATGAAGATGAGAAGAAAAAGAAGGACGTCAAGAAGCCTAGGGAGGAGAAGGAAGAAAAGGGCGGCTTACGGGTCAAAGAAGAGAAGAAAAAGAAGGACGACAAGAAGAATACGGAGGAGAAGGAAGAAAAGGGCGGCTTGCAGGTCAAAGAAGATGAGAATATGCAAAAAGTAAAAGGCAATGAGAGCAAAAGCGTACGTCAGAAGCAGAAGAAGGAGGCAGATAAAGAAGCTGTGCTTTCTGACAAAGATGATGAGACATCCCAACAAAAGAAGGGAGGGGACATGAAGGGAGAAGACCAGAAGGATGGCAATGAGGAAGGTGAGGAGGAGGAGGAGAAGGAGCAGGATGAGGAGGTTGAAGAAGAGACCACAGAGCCAGTGCCTTGCAAAGAAAGCAAAGCGAAAGGGAAACACACAAAGGAGAAGGACATGAAGGAGGTTAAGGACGACAAGAAGGGTAGACAGGCAAATGGAAAAACAGGACGTGAAGAAAAAGAGCTACCAACAAGAAATGCCAAGGAGTCCTCGAAGAGCAGTGAGACAAGTGAGGAGCAGAAGGCTGGCGAAGCGAAAGCAGAAGAGGCTAGCCCAAAAACCAAGGATAAACGTGACAAAAAGGAAGATAAGGCATCCCGGGTAGCCAAAGCCATGGAGCCACAAGTGAAGGATCCCGTTGAAACAAACGGCTTGAGGAAAAGCAAGAAGACAGCCAAGAAGATTGAGGAGGATGAGGAGGAGGAGGAGGAACAGAAGAAGAGTGAGGCAAAAGAGACCAAGGCAGAGACAACGAAGACATCTCGGGTATCCAAGGCCATGGTCGAAGTGGCCAAGGTTTCCAAAGGGAAGAAAGACAAGGAGGTCAAGAAAAGAAAGAAGATTGAGGAGGAGGACGAGGAGGAGCCAAACGAGTTGGATAGCGAGGAGCCAGACTCAGAGGAGCTTGATTCACTTGACTCCGACGAACGTATTAATGGAGAACCTGCACCAAAGAAAAAGACAAAGAAGAAGGAGGACAAAGAAGATTTCAAAGCCCCTAAGAAGGCCAAAGCTCAGGAGGTGAAGGAGAAACATCCAGAGAGTGAGAAGAAAGAGGCTGAGCCAAAGAGGAAATCTCGTCGGGAAGCCACAGCAGCCAAGTCCAAGGAGAAAACAAGCAAGAGGGCTGAAGGGGAGATGGAGGATGAAGAGAAGGCGGGTGGTGAAGATCCCAGGTCTAAGGAGGATGGAGGGAAACGTTCCCGAAAGGTGGCTGACCAGGGTGCTCAGGAAGGGTTGAAACACAAGGGCGCTGAGGATGATGAGAGTTTGGATGGCCAGTCGCTGAATGAGGAGGATTTAGCAAAAGCACACAAAAGTGAGAAGAAGGACAAGAAGAAAAGCAAGAAGACAGCCAAGAAGATTGAAGAGGAGGAGGAGGAGGAGGAACAGAAGAAGAGTGAGGCAAAAGAGACCAA